TCTCGGGTTCTCCCGCCCATTTTCCTCTGATGTGATAATGATGTGAAGTGGGCTAAAAACCCACTAGCCAAGGGAATGGGAAAGGAGTGAAAGGGGAATGAAAAGATTTCACGCTGCAGACCCCTGAAAGCCGGCACCAAATCCCCAAAAGTCCAGAAGGTTCTGAAGTCCCAAGTCCCAACGTCACGTGGGGTACGTCCGATAGGCCAGTGAAGCTTCGTAGGTCCAAGTCGGGAAACATCCGGAAAAATCAGGTCGTCGTACAACAGTCCGGTACCTATAGAAAGGTCTAGAGGCTGAGTCGTTATACAGCCAGTCCGGTACCCACAGAAAGGTTTGGAAAGGCCGGTCCAGTCCTCAAGTCCACAAAAGTTGCAGCAAGTCCCAGGAAAGTCTGGGAAGCTCCCGGATTGACATTGCAGCAGACAGGCTGTGGCTGACCGGTACTGGTCCAAGGCAGGCCAAGCCACGACAAGTTCTATATTTAGCTGCTACAGGCAGCGGCTCAACAGTTGCTCATTCGTGAAGTTGCGGAAGCGCTGCTGCTGCTTGTGTGACCAGGCGACTTGGGCAAGATAACGCTCGAAGAAGAAGAGAGCGTTGACAACAGCCATAGTTAGGCTAGTGTTAGGGAAGCAGGGCGGCCATAGAGTCTGAAGACTCTGAACTGAGCCGGTGTATTCAGGGCATGATCCAAGGGCGGCAAGAGACTGTGCTGTTGAGTGATACAAGACCAGAGAGAGATAGAGAGCAGAGAGAGAGAGAGGGGTAGACGGCTACATGCCTGAATCGAGTCTGAGTCTGTGAGAGTGGCAGAGACCGCATGAGACCTGAACACTTTCTTTGTATAATAAAGATGTTTTGCGTATCAATCCCTTGGGAGATTCTCGTGTCTTGGCTATCGGTTCTAAGTGTGAATACTCATCTGGATGGTCATTGCATGTGTGTGCGAGGTTAAGGGTGATTGACTTGCGAATAATTGCAGGAAGGAGAAAGAAGCTGAAGAAGGAAAGGAGGCGAAGAAGGGAGGTGAATAGGAGGAGAAAGGAAGGGAAAGAGAAAAAGAAAAGGGACAGCCTGGTGGGTAACAGGAAAGCAAACAGCCCATTGAGGCGGAGACACTGGAGGCGGCTGACAAAGAGATAGCCAAGATGCTGACAGGCGAACGACTTAAGATGCCAACCGGTGACCTGTTAGTACATGATGAGATGAAACCGATTGACGAGAGTGAACGGACAAACTAACATTACAGACCCTGAAGAGGATGTTGGAGAAAAGGCAGAGGAAGCGAAGAAGAAGCTGGAGCTGGAAAAGAAGTTGAGGGCAGAGGTCCAAGACATGCATAACCCCCTGTACAAGCAGGCTTTGCTGAGAAGAAACTAGAGGGGAACGCAGGCACGTTGATCACTTTCTCCTTTCATACGGGGCATGGGATTAGATAATGCGAAAAGCAAATCTGCTATGTAGCAGCTGCAGCCCATGTGGAGCAGTTTGAGTTGCAATTACAAGGCACTGATCAGAACCCTATCAACCCGGGAATGGCGCGCAGACCATGTACTCTGCTCACTAGCGGCTGCAACAGCGCTGATACTCTTGCTACTCATCCTAAACTTATCACTCACACCACTGTCATCTGTACCACACCATGGCAAGACGGCCACCCTTTCGCCGTCTGGCCCCTGAAATGCATATACCCCCAACTATATTTGAACGCTGACGGATATGTCAACCTTGATCTGTCCAACCGTCCAGCTTACCCTCTCGAAGAGTTTTGGGTTCAGCGCCTGACGACCCTATACCTTAAGGGGTTTCAAGAATGTCCTCCCACAAGAATGATTAAAGTCAACTAGACAATCCCACCGCTCTAACAGATGAATCCGCCCTTGAGGCTGCTGTTCAAGTCCTCTGTCCATGACTCACTGCTCTGCTCAAACTCATACTGCCAAACCAAGCGCAATGAACATACCACCACAGCCAACCCACATAGCAAAGTCGTGCTGTGGAGAGAAATTGTCCAACAGCTTCTCTTTTGTGTTGCTCGCACTGGAGCCGATTGGGCTGATTAGCACCTCAACGTTTTGCTGCAAGCGAAACTGCGACGCTTGTTGCAGGGAGGAGGGAGTGAGAATGTGGAGATCAAACCACCAGTGTTTTTTTTTCGCAGCTAGTACCGCTTTCTCTGATGGAGACTCTCATCAGAAAGTCACAATGTTTCCACGTGAATGAATTCCGCGGGAGGCAGGTACATCCCAATTAGTGCACTGTCACATTTTGGGGCAGTAGTGGTGGTTCAATGTTCTCCTTTTGGTTTGATTCTTCTCTTCTTCTTCTTTTTCTGCTTCTTTCCCTCGCATTCTTACTCCTTTTGCCATTGTGAACCTCTGTGGGACTTCATGAATGGATGTTGGCTGCTTACATCATTGAATTGATACGGGATTCACATCATGTGCGCGCGCGTGTTCTGTTAAATCACCTAAAAACAACATCAGACCGACTGATGGTTGTCTAAGGGGGATGGTACGATCGCGTATCAACTAAGCATGGCGAGATGCTGGAATTCAAGCAATACCTTCCTAGCTGAGGCAACCACTGGGTCCCCATTTTTGTGCACAGCACAGATGCATCATGACATTCATAACAACTTTGAAGCATGGCTACACAGGACCGTCAAAATAAGCTATCACTCTCTCATACCAGACAAAATGCTCTACAGAGTCTACAGACTGTAGGTTCAGACCCCATCGTAAGACGGCCAATCGCCCGCACACAAAGGTAGGTCTGCCACAGCCCCTAGAGTGCACAGGATGGCAATGTCTTGAATGTAGTGATGCTCGGATTCCAAGCAATACCTTTTCGGCTGAGGTAACCATGGGGTCCCCAGTTTTCCGCACAGTACAATGTATCGGACCGCTGAAATTCCCAGCCATATGCATCATTCCAACTTTGAAGCATGGCTGTGCAGGACCTTCGCAGCAAACTGTCAGCCACTCAGAGCAGACAGATTACTCTTCTGAGTCCACAGACTGTAGGGTCAGGCCCCATCACAAGCCAGCCAATCCCCTACAAAACAAAGGTAGGTCTGCCATAGCCAGAAAGTACACTCGACTGACTCCGGACACAAGACAGTACAGTGCACAGCATGGCAATGTAGCGATAGCCCTGACCACCGCAGCTCCAGACCTCGGTTGGGATTAGTCCTGCCTCTGCGGAAGTCGTGTTACATATTATCACAGAGAGCTGCGCAGCCAGGAGCAAGAACTCCGGAAAAATTTCCACCAAGATCCATTGGGTGTTGTACGACATTAGACATGTAAGCTAATGGATATGTTGGACCACAGTGAGAAATATAATTTCTCAAATCTTTCCAGAGCAGCAGTCGGAGAGCCCTGCAACACAAACACATTATTCAAGCAGGGAAAGGGAGTTGTAATGCCCTTCTTTCAAGTTCTTTGTGCATCTCCAATGCCCTTCTTTGTGCGTCTCCAATGCCCTTCTTTGTGTTTCTCCAATGCCCTTGTTATTCAAACTGTTTGTTTGTCCTCAGTTGTTTTCCCAAGTGACCTTCGCGGTATTTCTGCAATTTCTGCTGCGAGGACAAGTTGGCAAGTATTTTAGTAAGAAGGGTTTGGCCAACACCTGGTAGGCAAAAAAAAATTAAGGATACCAGCTCTTTGCAGCACTTCTGTACCCTGCCTGGAAAGATAAGCGATGCCTGCCCATGGAAAGTTCCATCCGACCCAGATCCTGGCATAGGCCGTGAGGAGACCCAGCTGATTGGCTGGCCGTCAATATATTGTTCCATAACGATGAACTAAAAGAGCCCACTTTGCAAAACAAACGGTAAAGATTAAAAAACAAGACAAAGATGAGGGGCACACTGAAACTATTCATTTCTCGCATTCTTCTTTTAACTCCCCCTCCACCGTGCCTCTCACATACAAGGCTCGCCACGTTGATGAAGCGGAGCCCGAGCTGCTCGCATCCTCGTGTGCACTCGTACGCTGTGAGGAGAAACAAAGATCAAAAAATGGAAAGTAAGGAGGAGACAAGGCTCAAGAATGAGTCTGTCCTTGACAACAGAGAGGACATGCATTGTAAGGATGAGGTGGATGGGCACATGGAAGACCTAGCTGAGCATTCTCAGCACAACAATTGCCACGATGACTGGCCCACCATACACTCCCGTGAATATATATTATGTCCAGACACTCCAGGCAAAGGATACATTGGTGGTTGATGCTAGGCTGCCTGAACACTGGCTTAGGGAAGTCGCACTGGGGCTCCCTTGATAACAATGAGAGACTCATGCAATTTAACTGGCTGCAGCTGTGGGTACTGGCCTACGGTAGTGGGAGTAGCACTAGCCCATCAGGTGAGCAGGAAGGCAGCAGGTGGCTGACACTAAGACAAATCGTTGGAGGCCGGTGCATGCATGGGCGTATGAAATGCTGGACAGCTACAAGGTATCTGGGATCAAAGCATCTGAGTTTGTTTGGAGTCTCCAGCTTTCATTGATTGCATAACAAACTTGTGGTAAGGACGCGTCTGCAATCCGATTGATTCCATCCTTTGCACCTTGTGTGTCCCATTCGCAAACAGGTGCCAAACGACTACCGTCTTCACTCGAATATGGTGCCCGTCGCCCGGTCATTGTAGCTGTATTTGGGGGAACTTTCAGTCCAGATGCAGCAATAATGACTGGGCATTATATTTGGGTGAAGACGATAGCATTTTTCATCTCCATAACAGATACATAATGAAAGAAATGAATCAGACAGAGAGAAGGATGGGCAATGACCCATAAGCTCGAACAGAAAATTGTGGGTGTTTCCCGCTTAAAGCGCAGCAGAGCCCATGTCAAGAGCTTATGATGGTAGTAGTAGGATGGTCTCGAACTTGCAAACAAAACATTACCAATGAGCACCAAAGGAGAAGAGAAAAAACTATTTTGTCCGCGAGCCTCCCACACCAACTTGAAGGACAGCCATTTATATTCTCACCTGTCCGCATATCGCAGAGTATTGAGAGTATGCTCGCACGACCCCGTGTTTGGAGAAATGTTTGCAATCATGACTGTCCTTGAATCTCCCATAAAGGAGTCTCGCAGCACCTCTGTCAACTTGCTACCTGCAAGGCACAAACATTGCAAACAGTTTTAAGAACTTGCTTAAGTTCGCGACAACAATCATGTCCCCTGATTCTTATAGCATTTCCCATACTCCACCCTTACCAGCAGTAGTTCCGAGGTATAAGACGCAGCTCCAGAGTTTTACTGCACAAGAGCTTCATGAATCAAGCCCAAGAGAATTACGTGGAGACACGAGAGACATTCATCAACTATAAATCACCACTCAAGCAACCACAGACACCCATTAGCGGACTCCAACATGCCCCAGCAAATGCGACAAGTGGCATGAAGTCGTCAGAAGTGACAGGATCATCATCACACTCTGCAACGGAGTTGCAAGCCGTGCTTGAGGGTGCCTATACCAAAGATGAGACGAGACAACTCCCAATTTTGAAATCAGTCTGTACCAGAATAACAGATGCTTTCGTGAGAGTGTTCTTGCTGTAATTCTGACTTGCTGGTGGAATAGGAACCGGAGTGTGACGCTTATGACCCTGGCTCCATATCCATTACGCTTCCGGTTCACCGGCTCCTGGCTGGCTGCAGAAACGGTAGCAGCGCTTTCCAGCTCGCGCCGGGTGTTAGGAGCCGGGATACTGCTCCCCACATAGATGCAAGGAAAATGAGCGCTTGAGAACTTCACAAATCAAACAGCATCATACACATGAGACCAGATAGTCGTGACCTCGAACCAAAAGCAGAATTGCATCACGAGTTCCACCAAATAAGAACACAGCAAAAGCTCATAATTGACAATGCTGGAATAGTCTCATTATCATCAACGAAGAACCAATGTCGATATCCTATCTGGCGCTCAGCGCAAAGACTACAGATGGCAGATCCTATCTAGCCGAATCTACAATGCCGCCGATGACGTCAACAGCTCCCTGAAGTACGAGCAGATCTCGGCCAATGCCGTACGCTTCAAGCACCAGGTATGTCTCTCGTATCACTCACAACCTTGTTCCCCAACTCACAGATGCCACATGCATCCACGGACCACCATGCGCCCCATCCAGCATACAGCAGCGCAGCTCAGCTATGGCTGCCTGCTCCTTCCAGCTCGCCCGTGAGTGCGTGAGCGCTGGCCAGGGTAGCGCAGCATGCAGCCGGTGCCCAAATGTCCAATGCGTGGGCAGGCCCTTCCCTATATCGAAGTGGCCTGCTGCTGCGTGCGATAATGTGGTGCTGGGCCCTGGCCCAGAAGCTTCCGGTAGGCCCCGGGAGCCTGAGCATTGGTACAGAGGAAACAGGCCCAGGGCCTGTGGTGGTTACCAGTGCCCAACCGCCCTCGCCTGCGTTCGGTCCATGCTGTGTATCCGTCCCAGGGCATGCCCTGGTTACAGACAATAAAAGGCAGCCTGGGACTGGGGCTTCCAACCAACTGGCGCTGCGCAACTGCCTGAATTTTCCCCAGTTGCGTAGTCGTCCAAAGTAGGCCTTGATCGGGCCTGCCTTCACTTAAGGCGGCCGACTTGCTGCTAACGGGGCCCAGTGGGGCTTACACAGCATAGAGCAGACTTGAGCAGAAGAGGGAGACTGGGATTCACTCGGGAGAGTTATCCCATAACTGCAACAATTTGGAATGGAAACTAGACTTAGATAACAGAATAGGTAGTGTGAGGCATATGAGTGAAGAATACATCTTAGCTTATAAATACATATATTAAAAAACGAACCGGACTGATGCTTCCCAGAATGGATATGGAGCCAGGAGCAAAGGACCATTAAAAAAAAAAAAAAAAACAAGAATAACAGATGCTTTACCTCGGAAAGGAATGTGTCCTTGATCATGATCGAGAGCTCGGATACACTCTTTCAAGGCCAACAGGCTCTTGTTGATTTCTGCCCCTTCGATTCTGGATGACAAACAATAAAGTTCCCACATTACTTTCATTAGCACAGAAGAAAATACCTATTGTCAAACTAAAATAAGAGAAAACAAAAATAAGAATAAGAGAAAAATCAGGAGCACGGTGCCGTGCACCCGATGCGACGCACTGGAATAATTAGTGTCCCTCCCCCCAAAAAAACAAAACTGGGGTTGTAGGATTCCTTGCCCCCCCTGCCAGCAAAAAATGGAAACGAGGTCGCATCAAGTGCGAAACTGGCCCCGCCCTGGCCCCAAACTTTTTTTTGGGGAGGAAATGTCTGCAGAATTCGAATTTGAATTTTGCAGGCCTTTTCCCCCAAGAAAAATATTGGGGCAGGGGCGGGACCGGTTTTGCACTTGACGCGGCCATGTTTGTGTGCAGCTAGGGGGCCTGTCGGTGGATGGACGACTGCGACGACGATGAACGACAACAAGGGCGACGATGGAGGGAGGAGGGACGTCATTAGAAGGAAGACGAGGGTAGACTTAAGAGGAAGGAAGGACCAGGGAGTACGGCGACGAGGAGGGAGGACGGAGAAGGGAGGGCCGAGAAAGCTAGGGCAGGAGGCAGCGGGAGGAGACAGCCTTCGGAAGCAGCGGCAGCGGCAGAGGCAGCAGTCAGTGCTGGGAGGCAGCGACAGGAGAGCAGCAGGCAACCATGACGGTGGGCACCACCACCTCTCTCTCTCTCTCTCTTCCTCCATATCTTCCTTGTCCTCCACTTCTCCCCTCATGTCATGTTCCTCCTCGTCATCGTTCTCCTCCTCCTCCTCCTCTAACGTAAACTACTAAACGTGCTACGTGGCACTTTTTGTTTTTGTTTTTGCCTAAGCAGCCACGTCTCCTCCTCCTCCTCTGCTTCCTCCTCCTCCCTCTCTTCCTCCTCCCCCTCTTCCTCCTCATCAGCTTCCTCCATATCTTCCTCCTCCTCCCCTACGCCGCACTTTATCCTCCTCCTCCTCCGCCAAACCTTCATCCTCCTCCTCCTCCTCGCCCTCCACATCTTGTGTTGTTTCCTCCTTGTCCTCCGCCATACCTTTGTCCTCTTCCTCCCCCTCCTCTTCATTTTCTTCCTCCTCCTCCTCCTCATCTTCCTCTAACCGTTAACGTGCCATGTGGCACGATGATTTTTTTTTAATTTTTTTTTTTCCGGGTAGTTCTCCTCCTCGTCCTCCTCATCTTTTGCCGTATCCTCCTCCTCCTCCTCCTCCGCCTCCTCATCCTGCTCATCCTACTCTAACGTTGGTGTGCCACATGGCACGTCTTTTTTTCTTTTTTTTGCCGGTGCGGCTACCTCTCCCCCTCCTCCTCAACTTTTGCCGTATCTTCCTCCTCCTCCTCCTCCTCCTCCTCCTTGTACTCATCCTACTCTAACGTTGACGTGCCAAGTGGCACGTCTTTTTCTTTTTCTTTTTTTTGTCCAGGTAGTTCTCCTCCTCCTCCTCCTTGTCRTCCTGCTCTTCTTCTTCCTTCTCCTCCTCTTCTTCTTCTCCCCTTTCCTCCTCCACAGCTTCTGCCATATCTTCCTCCTCCTTTCTCCTGTCTCCTTCTCCTCCTCTTCTTCTTCGTCCTCCTCTTCTTGTTCCTTCTCCTCCTCCTCCTCCTCCTCTTCTGCTGTATCCTCCTCCTCTCCTCCTCTTCCTCTAACCTGAACGTGCCACGAGTCACAACTTTTTTTTTTTTGGTTTGCCAGTGCAGCTACTTCTACTCCTCGCCCTCCACATCTTCTGCCATATCTTCCTCCTCCGCCATACCTTTCCCCTGTCTCCTCTTCCTCCTCTTCCTCCCCCTCCTCTTCTTTCGCCGCCTCCTTCTCCTCCTCATCTTCTGCAGTATCCCCCTCCTCCGCCATACCTTTCTCCTCTGTCTCCTCCTCCTCTTCCTCCCCCTCCTCTTCCTTCTACCTCCTCCTCCTCCTCCTCCTCTTCTGCCGTATACTCCTCTTCCTCTAACGTGACTTCTTTTTTTTTTGTTTGCCGGTGTGGCTCCTCCTCCTCCTCCTCCTCTTCTTCTTCCTTCTCCTCCTCCAATTCTTCTTCCTCCGTTCCGTTTACTCCACCTCTTCTTCTTCTTCGTTTTCCTTCATTCACCTTCGCCCACGTGTCTTCGGAATTGTTTTATGAGAGTTGTCGTTGTATATTTATTTTCAAGAAGTTTTTCATTGTCTTTATAGGGGCTGATATCCCTGTTTGCGGTGTGTGTTGTTCGTGTCATGCAGTGAAATGATGCCAGCCAACCATCTTATAGACCAGATTAAGCTACACTTCATCGCAGAGGGTGCCGTGGGGAAGTTTGCATTGAAGGGATCAAAGCACTGGAGGTGCAAGTACTGTGCGACGAAGCTCAGGGATCACTTCCGCCACAAGTGCAGCCTTGACTATTGCACAACAGAAATGTCAGTGGAGGAGAGGGAGAGGAGGGAAAAGGGGATAAGGCAGGGGAAGTGGCTTGCTCGCGTGTTGATGTACGGAGAGGCCGGAGGGTCCGGTCCCAGCAATTCGCGGGCCGCTGCTGATGAGGTCCCTGAGTTTCCTACCTCACAGGTGGGTGCAGCGGGCATCACTAGAGAAACACCCACACCTCAGTCGACCGCAGGCACAATTCTTGGATCGAAGTCTTCCAAGGCAGTTCCAAGTGGACCTTTGCGGCAGACAGTGATCGAGGAGGTTATCAGTGTCATGCAGAATGAGCGGACGAGTCGGTTTCTCGACAGGTTTCTGACCTCTGCATGAACCAGGCGTTCAGTTTGGTGGAGGATGAATACTTCTTGGAGTTCATCGACGCGGTGAAGAAGGCCCATTCGACGTGGATGCCGTGCAAAAGGGATGAACAAAGGACAAAACGCTTGGATGCTGACTATGCACGAGTAGGGGCGGAGGTGTGTTCCCTGATCCAGAAGTGGATGAAGTCTGAGTGTATGCTGCAGATGGACGGGTGGTCCGACCGCCGGAACAAGCCCCATCTGAATGTCATGGTGTCCTCACCGGTAGCTTACTTTCGTGTCTTGGATGGGGTCATCAGAGAGATCAGCGGATGCAATCATCGGCTTCGTCATGGGCAACGCAAGGGTGTGCATCAATGCTGGGAAAATGGTAGAGGCCGCCTAATACGCCTATCCTAACATCTTTAGCGTCGGATGTACTGCGCATGCGCTCGACCTTACGCCTATCCTAACATCTTTAACGTCGGATGTACTGCGCATACGCTCGACCTTGCGCTGGAGGACGTGTACAAGGACATGCCTTGGATGGCGGAGGTGGTTGATGCTGGGAACAGGGTTGGCAAGTTCTTCACGAATGTGGACAAGGCGAGGGCTGTGTTCAACAACTACTCACTGAAGACGAAGTTGAACCGTATGGCAGCAATGACATTTGCAACCAACTTCGAGATGCTTGGGTCTTTGAAGGACCTCAAGAACGCACTGGATCGATGCGTCTGTGAAGCGGGATGGGTGGACAAGATGGTACGGGCAGACCAGTTGGTGGCATTCCACGAAGTGACAACTATCATTCTTGATAAGGGCGAGTTGTGGAGCAACCTCAACAAGGCGCTCGATGTGATGCAGCCTGTGGTGGAGCTGCTTCGGCTGGTGGATGGGCAAGGATCGATCGTTTCGAAGGTGTACTTCAAAATGGATCTGCTTGTTCAATGCATGCGTGCCCTCGATTACATTTCAAGAGAGGAGCTCGAGGCAGTGGAGCGCATCCTCATGGACCGCTGGTCGAGCTGCATTGTACTGCAGCCTTCCTGGATCCTGAGCACCGAATGCACAATGCGCAACGCGACCCAGAGGTCCGTGAAGGGTTCAACATCTGGTTGTACTCCTGGATGTCACGAGATAAGCTCAAGGATGTGAGCTTCCAGGTTGACCAGTGGGTGGACGGTTTGGGAGGGTTCTCCACGGACCGTGTACCAGGCCAGCCAGCAGCCACCAGCTTTGTGGTGGGAGGCGTTCGGCTCCCAACACGACCTTCTCGCACCGCACGCCATCAAATTGCTTGGCCAGGCAAGCTCTTCCGCTGCTTGTGAGCGGAACTGGAGCTTGCACAAGCTTATCTACGCAGGAGGCGCACGAACCCCATGCCAGGGAGGATGGCCAAGCTTGTGTACAACAGCTGGAGTGTCCGCCCTTTGAGGAGTAACCAGCACGGCGGGGGGGATGATATCCACATCCCATGGGCGGATGACGTCCCGGTGGAAAAGGAGACGGAGTGGTACGCAGATTGGCAGAAGCGTGTCCATGGAGACGTGGACGAGGAAGAGATCGCCATGGTGGATGTCGATGCCGAGGAAGATGACTTTCCACTGCCACGCACCTTCCAGCGCAACGATGCGGTTGACGAGAGGCTGTGTGAGGAGGAGAACTTTGTTCTCGTCGGTACGCGGCAGTGTGACTGGCACGCGTGCACAAAGCCAGGGAAATACCACGAGCGAGAGTTGCATAGAAGATCAAGCAGCGAGCTGCCCGTGCCTCCGGAGTTGTACATGGACGAGGGCTACGCTCTTGCGATGGCAGCTCGACAAGCGGGCACATGAGTGGAGGGCCAGGAGGCAGCACCACGGAGGAGGCCCCAAAACAAGGGCAAAGAGAAGGATGATGGCAATGCGCCCGTGCATCGAGGCAAAAGGAAGGCTGTTGAGCAACACAACCACGACCGAAGAGAGCCCGTCTGACATTGGCGGAACAGGCAGAACGCAGGGCACGAAAGGCCGTAGAGAAGGCTGCCAAGGCAGCAGCTGATGCCGCTGCAGCGACAGCTGCTGCGGTCCAAGCCATTGCAGACAAAGTCGAAGCAGCAGCGAAAGCCGCTGCAAGGAATGATGCCACAGGCACGGCGAAGAGCTGTCTCTTATACACATCTAGATGTGTATAAGAGACAGGATGATGGCAATGCGCCCGTGCATCGAGGCAAAAGGAAGGCTGTTGAGCAACACAACCACGACCGAAGAGAGCCCGTCTGACATTGGCGGAACAGGCAGAACGCAGGGCACGAAAGGCCGTAGAGAAGGCTGCCAAGGCAGCAGCTGATGCCGCTGCAGCGACAGCTGCTGCGGTCCAAGCCATTGCAGACAAAGTCGAAGCAGCAGCGAAAGCCGCTGCAAGGAATGATGCCACAGGCACGGCGAAGAGAGCCACCATCATAAATGATGACGACGATGATGATATCCCGAAAGACATCCAGGGAGACGAAGAGCCCGAAGGATCAGCATCAACTTCTTCCAGCTCAAGTCCTCATCAAAGTCCAGTGGGGTGGAGGGAATGGAGGAGGGTGACAAGGAAGAAGAAGGTAAGGGTGCGGCACATCAGGAGGAGAGCGGGGGGGAAGAATAGGAAAAGGCGGAGTTGGGTGCACCCGTTGTTCTCTTTTTGTTGACCGACCGAACAATGTGAATTTTGAACTCTTGATATCAGTTTTTGTCATTTTTTCTGTTTCGTTCCTCGTTCTTTGCTGTGTCTGCTGCATCACCGATTGTTTCCTGTGTTTTTTTCTGATCCCATGTCGCCGCTCGATTGCATGGATACATTGGATGCTGTGACTGGTGCATTTTCGCACTCCGAATGCAAGTGAGTGTTAAATCCCCTCTTCAACCCCTCCAATTACGAAAAAAAAAAAAAAAGCAGGAAGAAACTTTAATAAACTTCCAAGTACTAGCAGGACCTTCGCAGGATATATCAACACACAGGCCACACCTGTGCAGGGTAAATGCAGGACCTTTTTTGCAATTGGCGCACTGAGTGAACAGGCCCTGAAGCCCAGCGCACCGTGAGCACGGTGCGCAGTGCGCGCTCTGGGAAATGTGCGCATGGCGCACAGCGCGCCGCATCAGGGCACTGCAAGTATTCTTCAAACATGGGCCATACTCGAGATCCACATGATATGAGCACGCTCAGAACAACTTATTTACAACTTGAAATCATGTACACGGGTCCATAAGCTTGCAGCCATGGTCACCCAACAACAACAACAAGCAGATAAGTCTCTCTCTCCCCCCCCCCCCCCCCCCCCCCCTGCTCTCTCTCTCTCTTCTCTCTCTTACATCCTCATTGATGCCTCTTGCATCTCTGTCC